TCATATCTTGCCCTGTCCGACGTCTCCCTTCACCCACTTTTCTGTTGTCCATCCCCCAGGGAAGAGGTTATATGTAAATCCTTGTAATGGGTTCCCCCTTTCCACCCCGCCCTCCCAAAAATAGGAATACTTTTAGTAACAACTTAGAATGCATCTTCATCTCCTTCCTACCTGCCTCATGAGTGGAAGTTTAAGGTCATGATTTTTTTTAAAAGACATGGATTCTCATGTATATAGATAATAAAAACTTATATTAGAGGACTTTTTAAAAAAGTGCAGGTAGGGAAAAAAAAAGAAGCCATCATTTTTAACTAAATCCATACTATACTCTTTGGTTACTACTCAGCGTCCTATCATTTAGCAAAAAGTAAAATGTTTATAGTGTTCATCTGAAATAATTACATTACAACCTTCCATTAAAATAAAACGATGAAGCCGTCAATCCAGTGGTTAATTTGACATGGCGTTCATTGAGGGTGGGCTGGGGGTGATGGCAAAGAGAAGACCAACATCCAAGAGAGGAAACTTAAAAGATACAATGGTTTTCTTTTTCCCCTCCCCGAGGGGGACGAACAACAGAAACATGGGTGAGGGGAGACGGGACAGTGTAAAATATGAAAATAAGAATAATTTATAAATTATCAATGGTTCACAAGAGTGTGGGAGGGAGAGCTGATACCAAGGGCTCAAACAGAAAGAAAATATTTTGGAAATGATGATGGCAACGTATGTTCAAATGTGCTTGATACAATTGATGTATGGATTGTTAAAAGCGCCCCCAATAAGATGATTTATTAAAATAACTTTTTTTTTTTTTAACATTTTATTAGGGGCTCATACAACTGTTATCCTAATCCATACACACCTCAATTGTGTAAAGCGCATTTGTACATCGTTTCTCAAAACATTTTCTCTCCATTTAAACCCCCGACATTAGGTCCTCATTTAAAATAACTTTTTAAGAAAATCAGTGTTTCATTATCATTATCATTTCTGGCCCCAGCAGGCCAGGCCCCCAGCAGCCTGCACACGTATCTGTCCAGAGTGTGGGGATGTGGGTGGGAGGATGTGTGTCTCTGGCCCACCCTCACTTCATAGCTGCGATCCGAGTAGCCGGATGTAGAACCTAGAGCCTTGGCTTTTCTGTCTGCCAGACTGTGATGGAAGAGCCCATGGGGAAGAGGGAAAATGTGGTCCAACAGGTGGCGAAGCCCAGGGAGCAGACCCACCACTGGGTCTCATCCACGGTGCATCCTCTTGGCCACAGCCTCACCTGCCCTCAGAAATGTGCTGCCTTCTTGATCTCTGTGTGCAGGAGGGAGATGGTTCTGGCTCACCCTCAGCTTGGTGAACTTTAGGACTCCCTTCCTCAGTCCCCTCGGGCAGGAGGAGGAAGAGGAAGTGCAGACCCACCCCTGGAAACAATTGCGGCAAGTCCTATAACAGTCCTGTGAGCTGAGCCCATACTCTGGACTGGATGCTTGATACACGTTATCTCTTTTAATCCTCCCTACTGCCCTGGGGGAGGAGCCCTGGTGGCATAGTGGTTTGAAGTTGGGCTGTAGTCTTCAAGGTCGAAAGTTCAATACCACCAGCCTCTCCACAGGAGAAAGATGGGACATTCTAGCCTCATAAAGAGTTACAGTCTTGGAAACCCATAAGGGCAGTTCCTCCCTGTCCTATGTGGTCACTATGAATCGGCATTGCCTTCATGCCAGTGAGTTTGTGGGGTTTTCTTAGTGCCCTGCGCTGGGGGTACCCTCGGGGGCAGAATTTCCAGAGGTAGAATGCCTCACCTTCCACGAGGAGATG